GACAGCCTACGTTCAGCTGGCTGTCAGAGGTAACGGTTCCTTTGGGCTGAAAAAATCTGAAAGTCTCTTGACTGACACTATGAAATTAAAAATTACCTTCTGGCATGCATGTGTCTCGTGTGGCTGCTTGGTACAGGAAACCAGTAGCTCTTAGATTTGCGCGGAGTGATGCAGCAGAAATGAAACATGCCTCGGGTTTGGAAATAAAGCTTTGGAGGTGGGAGAGCTGTTACTGTAGAAAATGGAGGTTTTGTTCAGACTAGAGTGAGCCCTGTTCTCTCCAGAGTAACTGGGGAAATGGAGTTCATGCTGTGGCCTGCAGGACTCTCTTCAACCAAAGCTTCCCCAGAAGCTCGTGGGACCAGAAAGACCGGACTCTGTGGGCACCGCTGAGGGTGTTTTTCTAACTGTTTCAGATGAAAAGCTGATCGAAGGGCAAGTCATTGAACTTGAAGATGGGACCACAGCTTATATCCATCAGGTGACGGTTCAGAAAGGTGAGAACCTTTCACCTCTTTGGTTTTAGAAAGACGTTGTAGATGTAACTGCACTTGTCTGTGTTCCAGCTGTTGGGCTCCTCTATTAGCTCCACCTTTAAGATGTCCATATAGCTGCAGGTTTGTTTTTTTCTCTTGCCCATGGTTTTGAGGCTGAATGAGCAAGAACATAGGACATGGGATTTCTTGCAAAGTTTTTAGTGATCTGACAAGAAAGCAAATCTGCTGGTGGTGTGAGCAAGTCTTTTAAGTGTTGTTTCACCTGTGGGCTCTCTCAGTCTGACAGATCACAAGTCTACAAGCAAGACCAGTGAGCCATGTGCTGCAGAGCCCAAACAAAGTTTGTTTCATGTGGAAGCAATTGGACAGGAATTTCCTCTGAACTGTGATCTCATATATTGCTTCTGGAATAGCTGTTTGGTGGGGGAGGGTGGAGATTTTTGGAAGCAATGCCACCTTGATCATTGACCCATTGGCCTCTGAAATGAGGTGACATGAATCTGAGAGGTGATGGGAATTCATTTCATGTAGGAGGCACCAGGGTGGCACAGAGGAATCCTTCCCGACCAAAATAAGATAAAAAGGGCCAATACAAAGAGTTCTCTTGCTTTGGGCAGTCCTTCCTTCACCTTCCCAACCTCCTTGTATGCCACCTCGCTTTTCTGTGCTTAAAAGTTTGCTTGAAACACGCTTGGCTGTGCCCCTGTCCTCTCTTCATCCTCTTCCCCGCCTCTAAATGCACAGTGAAGGAGAGGGTTTCCTTCTCACTCCTGCTTCCGCTGCCATGGGATGTTTGTGTTCTCCTTTACACACCCCTGTGCCAGAGCCCTTCTCCTTGTCTGGGACATAATCTGGTGTTTTGAAATCCGTGAGATACTGCATTACCTCGATGAGCTAAAAAAAGTGTGGTGAAGCCCTGCCTGAAGCCTTAAAAACATTATAATTCCTGTTGGAAGGACTCAAAAGGTGTCTTAAAACCTGTCGTTGTGATTGACTTCCACTGTAAGCAGGCAGCCCTGCTGTGTCCTTTTCTGTGGGTGAGAGTGCTGAAGGGTTCAGGAACTGATGCAGCATGACCCCCACCCCATCTGAGTCTTCCAGTAAGGTGTGTGGATTTTTAAATTTTCTCTTTTTTTAGACTCTGTGGCTTTTGAAGACGGTCAGCCATTGGTGTTGGAAGATGGCAGTATGGTCTACATACACCACACAGCTAAAGGTAAAGAGCATCCCCTGTTCTTCCCTTGGCAACTGGAGGAGAAGCTGCTAAAGTGTCACAGATTTCCAAGGCTGTAGGTAGCCCAGGGAGGTGAAGTGTGCCTTGCACTCAGCAGCTCTTTCACCTGTAATTTTCTTGATTTCCTCTGCAGAAGGCTTTGACCCCAGCACCTTCGAGGCTGTCCAGCTGGAGGATGGCTCCACTGCCTACGTCCATCGTCCTGTCGTTGTGCCGCCTGGCAGCACCATCCTGGAAGTGCAGGCAGAAACTGGGCTAGAGGAGCTGGCTGGAGAGGGAGAAGATGATGCCTTTGATGTGGAGACCATTAATGCATTAAAGCAGTACGCCAGTAAGGTGAGGACGCGACGCTTCTTTCATGGCCCTCCAGCAGCACTGAGGAGCTGGTGCAGTTGTCCACACTTGGCCCAGGGTTTAAGTATCCTCCCTTCATTAGTGCTTCTGTGTATTTCTATTTCAGCGATGCCAGCTTTGAGAAGAGAACCTGGCCAGGGCTTAGTGGGGGTGCTGGCACTGACGGGAGGATGGCAGTTCAGGACCTAGAATGGGGCAATTTCCTCCTGGGCCCTCTAGCTCGTTCCTGCAGAGTGCTGGGCCTACCTCCCTTACCTGCTGCAGGCACAGATTTGGGAAGAGCGCATAGCTGATGGGATTCAGCTTAGATTATTTTTTTTCTTGCTTTTTCTTGACTTAGCTATGGTCACTGTTTCCCCATGTTGACAGAGGCCTCAAAACCTAAAATACCTTCTGATTCTAACGCGCTGTCACTGCAGCGCTCCATCTGAATGCCTTGGGTGCTGCTGTTTTCTCCTGTCTTCACGGTGCTCTGTGAGAAGGGGCTACCAGGAGTGTGCTGCTACAGCACTAGGCTGGGCAGCTTTAAGATTTGCTGATGGAGACCTTTGGGCTGTGACAGGACCAGCCTCTCCTGGCTCTCTGGAGAAGAGTGAGGCAGCGGTGTAGATGTGACAGCCTTCCTGCTCGGGTTGCTCACCTGCTCCGTGCTGTGTGGGGAGGCACAGAACAGTGCCCATACTTCTTTACTTGCAGGTGTCTGAGGAGGAAGAGGAGGAGGGAGTGACAGACACTTGCCGTGGGAAGAGCGAGGACTCCAGCGACATCCGCTCCCAGGTCTGACTTTTTCAGTGATGCATTTCTGAAACTAGGCTGGACTCCTCTTGACGCAGAGCACTTTGCCAGCTAGTAATTAAAAAAGCTTTGTGGCTTCTCTGCGGAATTAGTGAATACACGAGCTGCAAGTTTTACAGATGAGTTAAGTGAAGCACAGAGCTCTGTGTCTGAGAGCACCCGGTGAGCTGGGAGTGGGAAATGCTGGTTCCTTCACCCCTGCCCTGTCACCTGGCTTGCACCGTATGTGCATAAGCTGTGTTTGTAGGAGTGTGGTTTTGCAAGGGGAGCTGAAGCAGCAATGATCTGTGTGGGTTCTGCCGTGGTAGCTCCCTGAGTTAATGTCTGTGCGTCTCTTGGCAGGATTTGCAGGAGGAGGAAGTGCACAGCAATGAGAAGGGGCAGCGGGTTGGCGCTAGAGCTTTCCGCTGTGGGTACAAAGGCTGTGGCCGCCTCTACACCACTGCCCACCATCTGAAGGTAAAGCTGGTATCATGCACTCATGCAGTGTGCAGACCAGACACATCCCCGTGTTCTAGTGCTGAGCTGGGTGCTTGGCTCCCCAAGAGACCCAGATGTGTTCATTGGCCATGGTGAAATCCTGCAGACAACTTCAGGTTCTCTCCACCAGCCACGTTTCTCCATGCTGTTTTCCTTCCTTCTTGGACCTCATTTTAGGGACCTGTTCTTTCTTTTCCAGGTACATGAGCGTGCTCACACAGGTGACCGGCCCTATACGTGTGACTTCCCAAGCTGTGGGAAAGCATTTGCTACAGGTAACAATTTCTCTTTTGAGCAAATTTTGTTTTCTGTCTGGTCCAGACTACTCTTGAGTATCAGCCCTGGCTTTTTTCCGCACAGTGAGCATAGCTTCTAAAGACTTCTGAGAAGAAATTGCAGCACAGGAGACTGCCCAGAACTTGATCTGTATATTTAGACAGATTAAAGGAATTAGAAGAAGCAGCTGAGTTGTCAGTGGTGTTGTGAGGCTGTTTGGATATTTCTTCTCCTTCAGCTTTACAGGCACAGGCTGGACATTCAGAAACGCATGAACTGAGAGGTCCTACGTAGCTTGCCATATTATTTACTTCTTGTTATAAAATTAATTGCTTTTTGTTTTTTCCTGGACAGGGTATGGGCTGAAGAGCCATGTGAGAACGCATACTGGTGAGAAACCATACAAGTGTCCCGAAGATGTGTGTAGCAAAGCCTTCAAAACCTCTGGGGATCTGCAGAAACACATCCGGACACACACAGGTGAGCAGTACGGGAGAACTGAGCTGCCCATTCGAAGGATAAAATCCTGCTTCAGCCTCTCTCTGGGACACACCTCTTTGTGTCTTGGGTGAAGCGTGGTGGAACTGCAGGTGTCTTCAGACAAAGCAGAAGTAGCACTGGGAATTCTCAACTCGATTACGAACCACAGAGCAAAAAGGGGTGGGGATGCCAGCGCTGCTGGAGCAAACGTGCCCACAGTTGGGGCTGCTCTGGGGTCTCATAATACTGTGGAGGAGTGATGGGATTCAGGTATCCAGGGCATTCCAGATAGTTGTGTAGTAGCAGGGCTCTTATCCGTGTTACTCTGTCGATGCAGGTGAGCGTCCCTTCAAGTGTCCCTTTGTGGGCTGTGGCCGCTCTTTTACCACATCCAACATCCGCAAGGTTCACATCCGAACGCACACGGGTGAGCGGCCGTACATGTGTCCGGAGCCCAACTGCGGAAGGGGCTTCACCAGTGCCACCAATTACAAGAACCACATGAGAATCCACACAGGTGAGAGGGAGGAAAGGGTAGAATCTCCTCCCTGGTCAGCCTGTGGCAGCAGGGAAAGGTGTGGGACTGAAAGGATTACCAGGCATGGCCTGAGTTGATCTGGGGGTAGCCAGGGAGTTAAAAAAAATAAGAATCGTTTTATTGGGCTGATAATTGTTCCCCTGGTCTGTCTCCAGCTATTCCCTCTTGATGGGGAATCCCTTCCCTGAGCATGAGGAGGGTGAGTGGGTTAAACTTTGCTCTGTGGCCTGTGCCGTAGGAGAGAAGCCGTACATGTGCACTGTGCCGGGCTGCGGGAAGCGCTTCACCGAGTACTCCAGCCTCTACAAGCACCATGTCGTCCACACGCACTGCAAACCCTACACCTGCAACAGCTGCGGGAAGACCTACCGGCAGACCTCCACGCTGGCCATGCACAAGCGCAGCAGCCACGGCGAGCTGGAGGCCACGGAGGAGAGCGAGCAGGCCCTCTTCGAACAGCAGCAGCTGGAGGGTGAGCAACCGTTCCACCGTCGCCTGCGGTGAGCGTGGGTCAGGCCGTGTGGCAAAGGGGGAGAGGGATGACAGCAAGATCCTGCAGCCGCTGCCCTCTCTCAGACCCAGAGCTGTGCGGCGGCCTCCTGCCTCCCCCATCAAACCCAGATTCGTGTCACACTTGAGAGAAAAGGGCGCCCTGTAGTCCTCGCTGCGTGTCATGGGTTGGGAAGGGACTCCTCCCTATTTAGTCCAGGGGCAGGTCACGATCTTTCTTCCCGGGCCAGTGCTGGGCTCTTGTCATCATGATCTTGTGCTCTTCTGTGCTGGCAACAGGCAGGTCCCGGGGTCAGGCCTGTGCTTTCACACTCAGATTAGTGCTTCTCTCACCCCTGTTGCTCTTCCCTTTCTGTGACTCAGCTGCTGCTGCTGCTGACGGAAGCTCCTTGCTGAAGAGCCAGCGTATTGCTTTCCTGTCAGAGATGGAGGAAGAGGAGGATGAAGATGGTATGTCTACGCAGGTGTCGCTTATCTCTCAGGATGGGACGGAACAGGTATGAACATTGACAACCTCCAGCCTGTTGGGGACAGCAGTTATCTGAGATTCTGCCTCTACTCAACCTTGGTGTCTTACGCTTTTTTTTTCAGCGTAAAATAGACCCTGGGGCTTTACAGGCTTGTTTGTCACAAGGACTCCCCCCTTACAGCCTTATCCCTTCCAGGCTGCTGTGCTGTGGAGGATAAAGAACCAGGCTCTGGTCCCTGACTTAGCTTTTTGCTGGACAGGGTCTTGCAAGGCAACCCTTGCCTCCTGGGCAACTGTCAAGAGGCAGTTCCCAATCTCTGCTGACACAGGCTGGATTTGCAGATTGTTTTTCTATCATTTGGCTGCAGCAGTGTTCTTCTTGCACTTCCCTCCAGCAGCTCTCCCTGTGCTGACTGAGACAAACTCCCTTCTGTGGCACGGGGCAAAGGAAGCAGCTGCCACGGGTAGCGATTGTTTCCTCTTAGTCCATGCTGCTCCCTGCTGCAGCGATTCACGCGCTGTCCCTTCAAAGCCTGGAGAGAAGACGCAAAGTGTGATGGGGAGGTGTGGTAGAGGCGGGGAGGGCTGGGGACCCGAGGCCTCTGGATTCTCCGTTGATCCTGTCCATGACCCTGGGTGAAGTCCTTGGAGTTCTCTGTGCCCTTGACCTCACATGCAGAGGAGGAGAGGATATTTCATCCACACTGAGACCTTTGTGTTGCTAAACCGAGGAGTTGCGTAAGGCTTCCTGAAAAGCCATCCTGGCTGAGGGCATCTGCTGTTATCCCACCCAGGTCAGTTTGTCGCAGGAAGACCTGCAGGCTCTAGGCAGTGCGATTGGCGTCGTGACGCAGAGCGGAGCCCTCGCCGGGTCTGAGTAAGAGGTGGCGGGTGGTGCCACCCGTGCAGTGACTGCAGCCAATGCTGGTGGCACCGAGACGCAGCTGGTATGGACGAAACTGGAACCTTCCCTTTTCCCTGTGGAGAAACAGCCTGCTCAGAGGGAACTGCATTTTCTCTTAAAACGTTAATTGGTTTTTATTTTACTTTCCCGTAGGTTAGCATAGTCACTTCTGGGACTGAAGAATCGGCCGTCGCATCCCTCTGTCATCAGCAGGTGACATTGCTGGCTACTGCCAACGGCACCCACGTTGCCGTGCAGGTATCACACAGCTCCTGCCATCTCCCCCCAGCCACCCGCTGCCTTCAGCACTTTCCCTCCCCATCCGCTACGTCGTCTCTTGCCCGGGCTGCTTGCTTCTTACCAGCTGCCCAGTGGATAGAGCAGAGCGGGGACACGCTCCTTGGATTGCAGAATGCTCCTTTCTAAACAGCCTTGCTCCATCGTAGCTGTGTCTCTCTGTGCTGCTTTTCCTTGCCGCTTTCTCCCTGTGCCACCCACTGCCAATCCCTCGCGCCTCTGTCCTGCTGGGGGCTGCCCCAAGTGAGCCCACCCCTCCTTAGCCAGTCTTCCAGGAGGACAGTGTTCTCTTTCTCTCCCTCTCCTCTGCTAGGTAGAAGAACAGCAGAGCCTGGAGGAAGCCATCAGCATGGCCGCAGCCGCCATCCAGCATGAACCTGTAACGCTCGAGGCAGCTGTGTCCAAGAATGGGAGGTGAGGGCCCGCCGAGCCCCCCTGG